CAGCTACTGCCCTTGTCCAGGCTTTACTTCTCTCCCCCGCCTGCCCCCGGCTGACAGTCACGTGAGCAGCCGGCTGCTGCCACCCAGTGATGTGGTAAGGCTAGTGTGGCACGGGGCAGGGCGGGGCCCTCCCACAGGAAGGGGAGAGGCACCTCAAGGATGGACGGGAGGACGAACAGTGTGGATGGATGGACGTCTTCCCACAGAGTGGGCCCGGGAGGCCCAGGGGGAGTTGGGAGACGGCTGGGCTGCAGCCATGTGGTGGCAGACGCCTGAGACATCCGTCACCTGGCAGGTCTTGGCAGGGACAGTGCCTACTGGGTCAGGGTGGAGTACAGATATGACACAGTGATAAACGTGCACGTGGACTTGGGTTATCGATGGTTGGGGTGGGACCAGGGGGAGATGCCACCAGGAAAGTGTGGAGATCCCAGAGGGAGGGAAGCGGGTGAGAGACAGACAGACTGGTGTCTTACCAGAGGGCGTGGAGGCAGCCACTGGTGCTTTGAGGCAGCAAATGCGGGCCTGGATGGCCTGGGAGGGAGGGCAAGGCCCTGTGAGGCTTGGACCCTGAGAGGCTTGCAGGCTATCTAGAAAGCCCCGCAACCTCAAAGTTTCAACTTTTTCAAATTTCTAATGTTCATTTTCAAGTCAGACACTGCGGTCGTCATACAGAAGAGGCCATAAGGGAAATCAAGGAGTAAGAACCTGGGAGGGTGTAAATGTGGGGGCGGAGGCGAGACTCCTGCCTCACTCTCAGCCTGAGCCTGGGTGGTGGGGGATGGGCATCCTCTGCGCCAGGAGCCCTGGGTCTCTCTGGGTCTGGGTCAGAGCTTGGGGTAAGTACAACTTTTCAACAGAAGGGAGGAAGAGGAAGAGCAAGGGCAGAGGCAACAAGCCTTCCATGGAAACGGCACCACCCACTCTGGCTCCTAAGGGGTTTGGGGGAGAAAATGAATATCCCCACCCTCATGCATCAGAAGACAACTCAGAACCTTCAGCGCCTGTGAGAGCAGACGTGGCAGACGAAATCCTCTCTGCACGTTCAGGACTAGGGAGCTGCAGCCCCAAATGCTTTGGGGCAAAGACATTTGCGCTCAGGGCTAGGGTCTCTTCAAGGCCTCCACATATCCTCTCCGGGGCCCTAAGCAACTCACCAACACTCTTTCTGGGGCCTGGAGCAGAGGCTGCAGCCCCAACTCTCCCTCACCCCAACCACCGCTGCCTGAGGCCCTGTGAACAAGTTGGGCTGGGTGGACGGACATGTCCATTCTGCCGAGGGCCTCGCCGGAGAACGGCTGAGGTGGGAGCCTCAAGGGTTAGAGAAAAGGGTGAGGAAAGATGAGGTAGGAGTTGGACTGGTCAGGGGAGCGGGGGTAGGAGTTCAGATGTGAGGGGTAGGAAGCAGGTTGGAGTAAGCAGGGGGGCATGTGGGGGTGGGAAGGGAGGGACGGAGGGAGGTGGGGGGGGGCACGGGGAGGCCCTTGTCCTGCCCCCTGTGCTGGGAGCTTCATCTTGGCTTGAGTCAAGCCCCTAGTAGCCATTGGCATCCCTTCTTCTGGCCCCAGAGTCCTAACTGTCCGGTACCTTCCTGCCTCTCTCCCTTGTGCTCTGGAACAGCGTGGAGAACCCAAATGAAGTCACTCTTATGTGAGATGCTTGTTAGGGACACAATTAAACTTGGTGGGCCATGTTCCTATCCCTCAACCCATTGTGGTGGCTATGGGGGCAGGTACTGACAGGCAGCCCCTTCTGGAATCGGAAGTGAGTGTTACTCTGCAGAGTCAGACAGTAGTTGTCTTCTAGAATCTAGACATTGGGCCTTCAACTTTGTCACTGAATAACCCTAGATGTCTTGAAAAACTAGGTGCTACTTTTCATCTTGAGTCTTATAACTAACATTTTCATCATACGTTTAAATAGTTGCAAAGGTTGTGATTTCTAGAAAATCATACATATTAGCATTAAAATAAATGTTGGCATCATTCTGTTAAATGATTCTTATGAACCTAAATACCATATCAATTTTATGCCCATCAAAATCCTGTAAAAACACCTGAAGAGGTGTTTTCTTAAATAGTCAAAACTTCAATTATCACTTCTTGAATGCTTCTTGCTATTTCTTAAGCTATAATTCTAAAGCCTTTTTGGTTACTTTATTAGGCACAATCTGACACTCAGCTAAAATAAGTGAGGACTCCTAACACTCAGTAGGTGAATTGCAACTCAAGTTGGTGAAATAGGTCTTCCTGAACTTCAGGTAGAAGAGGGGAGATCCCTGACATGAAGGCTTAAAAGAAAAAAAAAAAAAAAAAGGCCTTGGGCACTTAAACACAGGAGCATAGTCCTTGTGAAATCAGGTAGAAGAAATATGTTCTGTGATACTCAGGTCTGAGAAGTAAGAAATCCTATCAGTCGGGTAAAGTGCACAAGAGCCCTGAAACTTTCCTAGGAGAGATTGCTCCTTACACTCAGGTAGAAAAGAGAGCGTCTTCCTGACATGCAGGTAACAGTGATGGAAATCTTGTGATACTCACATAGTTGATGTTATTGAAACCCAATTATATTCCTTTAGGGGACATAAAACTTATTGTTTGGCAGGAAGGTAAAGAATGCATATCAAAGCTCAAGGGAATTAATTATCCTGCCACTAATTGGGGGGGATAAGGTCTTGTCACTCCCTGCTAAACAAAGATAAGGTGTCCTGGGCCACTGTTAGAAGGTGGAGGAGGGACAGGAAAGTATTCCACAAACTGAGAAGGCACTTTGAGACTGGAAAACCAAGCCGGCCACTACATATTGTTTACTCTGAGTTTGTTTGTTTGTTTGTTTTAGTTAAGATTTAATTTTGAGTAAGCTCTACACCCGACACGGGGCTTGAACTCACAGCCCTGAGATCAAGTGTCGCACGCTCTACTGACTGAGTCAGCCAGACGCCCCTCTTCACACAGAGTTTTGTTCAGGTGGATCGGGCGGTGGATGACTGCATAGTTGACAGGTTTCATACAATGAGGGGCATGCAGAAGGGCAGGTAGTGAGATCAGGGGACTCACGTGCAACCTTTAATTAGATCTTGGGCCACTACCTGTGCCTCAACAAGGGGAAAGACTGTGTTATTTCCAGCAGATTCTTGGGGGGGCACGAAAGCAAGCTTGGACTTGGTAGGCATTTCTAAGGGGTGTATATCAATCTCCAAGGGGCCCGGAACACACAGCCCCAAGGGAGGTCACTGAACAAACATGAACAAGATGGAGGGCCAGAGACGGAGTCCATATTGTCAGCAATCCTACACCCAGTAATAGGAGAGGCAAGAGCTTCTGACCTGTAAGAAGAGTAGATCTGGGGACACTCATGTACAGAACATGGGAGCTTCTTGACAATTAGGTAGTAAGAGGAGGTATCTGGACAACTATCTAGTGGGAGAGAGACATCTGACATTAGATAGAGGAGATGAGACACTGGACATGCAGGTAGGGAAGGCAAGACCTTGCTACACTCAAATAGGGAAGAGGAGCCCCGTTGGTTGCTAAGAGAAAAGAGTTGGAACCTCCAGACATAGCAGAAGAGACGAAAGGCAAGATCTGACATTCAGGTGCAGGAGACCTCCAGATACCCAGGAAGGAGACAGAAGACCTTCAGACAGTCAGGGAGTTGAGATGAGAATGTCAGACATTTACAAAGTAAAGGAGACCTTGTGATATTCAGGTAGAGAAGATAAAAGCTCATGACTTTTAGGTAGGGAGGGAGACTATACTCCAGTAGGCCGCAGGAGACTTCCTGGGAGCCAGGTGGATGACGGGAGAGTTCCAGGCACCTGAGTGTGGCAAGTGGAGCCTCGGTGCACTCGTGGAGGTGAGATGTACCTCCTGACCTCAGGTAGAGGATGTAAGACCTCTTGGTTCTCAGGTAGAGAAGACGCAACAAAGTGACACTCGGTGGTCAAGATGTGGCCTTTGGCCTTGAGATGGAAGAAAAGAGACATCCTCACATTCAGGAAGAGGAGATGATAGCTCCTGATAGTCTGATAAGATATTTAAGACCTGCTGCATATTCAGTTAAGGGGGATGTGACCTCCCGACAGTTGTGTGAGATGAGAAAGTAGGACATTCATATTTAGAGGATTAAAGATCATCTGACAATCTGAAAACTCTTAATACTCAGGACATGAGGTGCCCGACACTCAGGAGAGGAGCGCCCTGCCGACGGACGGACTAGTTGAGAACTTACATTCAGGTAGAGGATGGGAGGCTGCCCTGCATGCAGGTAGAGATGTGACCTCCTCTTCCAGAGGAGGTGAAACTTGTTAATGTGCCGGTATGTGAGGGAGCATTTGTCATCCTCTGGTAGGTGAGGCGCTGTCTCCTGACGATCAGAAGAGATGAAACTTCATGATACTCAGGTCAGTGTAATGAGAATTCCTGACACCAAGCAGAGGAGACAGCCTTGCTGTGGTAGCTCCCGGAGAGATGGCCCGGAGACAGGTAGGAAACAGCAGACCTTGCGATACTCAGGAATGAATAGAAAGGTGGGCTTTGTGATCCTAAATTAAGGAAATTCAAAATGGGTCTTTGAAAAATGTGCTGATAGCATGTACTTAGAAGAGAGAAAGAGAATTTCTCCTGTACAGCATTAAGGATTGACTAATCTGACCAGATTACCCTGACCCCTGTGACCACTGCCGGGTGCCATCTTGACACAGAGGGACAGAGCTGCCCTTCAACCCATGTTTGGAACCGGCACTGTGCTGACAGAGTGCATGAGGGGCGGACCCTGGGCCTAGAGGATACGGGGCCTCAGAAGACCCTGGCCTTGAGATAGAGGGAGGGGCTGCACCCAGGAGTGGGGGGGCCTGAACAGGAAGTGGGGAACCCTTTTCAGCCTGAACCAGTTAAGCTAAAGGGCTCCTGCCTGGCCTGATGACTGGGGGGTGGGGGCGGGAGGCCGCACTGCTGATTGGTCGGCAGCCCGCAGAGCTTTGTGAGGTCACTAGGGCTCCGGGCCAGGCTGGGGCAGGAGGATGGTGGAGATGCTGCCAACTGCCATTCTGTTGGTCTTGGCAGTGTCTGTGGTTGCCAGAGATAACGCCACGTGTGAGTAAGTGTCAGGGACACCTTTGGGGGTGTGTGGAGTGTCTTCTGAGCAGCAAGCCCCACCCAGACGCCCTCTGTTCAGGGCTAGGGAGGCGGCCAGCACAGCTGTGACCTGCACCCCTGCTCACACCATCCTTGCTCCCAGCTTCATCGGCCCCGAGCCCCCAGGGCTGGGCCCAGGCTTCCTATGGCTCCCACGGCACAGACCCTGGAAGCTCCTCCTCACCTGGAGACGGCCTCACTGCCTCTTGAATATCTTAATTTTTAGAAGGCCCTTTCTTCCCACAGATACTGAGGCATCCCCACATGTGTCTGACCCCAAAGGCTCCATGGTACCATCACGCCAACCCTTTGGGATCCCCCCTTCCACGTAGACTGCTACAGCCTCCAAGATACCCCCAAATGATTGCGGCCCCGCCCAGCTCCCAGAATTCCCGCCTCTGGGCCCCCGCTGCTCCCCATACCTGGGGCCACTGGACCTGCCTTGGCCACTCTGCCTCCCTCTGCCACCACCCACCCTTACCTTGCAGCCCCAAGACCCCATGGCTATGACCACCTCTAGCCTCCCCCTCTGCCTAGGGATCACCCACATTTCTAGGGCCCTTACTGTCTGTCTTGCTTCCTATGGGCCTTTCTTTCCTCAAAACCATTTCCCGGAGTCTGCAGCTTCTGGCTCATCACCACCTTGACAGCGTTTCTCCTCAGCAGCCCCCCACCCCCGCCCTTGGGCTCTACCTACTCTGGACCACCCCACTTTCAGCAGACCCCTAGCTCTGCCTCCCCCACTGTGCAGGCAGGACAGGCTGGACCTATTCTCGGCTTGAACTGTGCCCCTGGTCTCTCCTCAGTGGCCCCTGTGGGTTACGGTTCAGGCAGAACCCACAGGGGAGCATCCGTATCGTTGGAGGGCAGGACGTGGCACTCGGGGCCTGGCCCTGGATGGTCAGCCTCCAGGTCTTCACTCCGCACAACAACCGGAGGTATCACGCGTGCGGAGGCACCCTGCTGAACTCCCACTGGTTGCTTACAGCTGCTCACTGCTTCGGCTCCAAAAAGTAGGTGTGGGGACACGCAGAGGGAGGTCTTCAGGAAGGCTGTTCTGGGGAAGGGACCTTCCCCAGGGACTCTCTGCGCAGTCTCCCTGGGGAAGACTTGCTGGGCCTAGTGGTGGCCGCACCGTGAGTGCATGGGCCCAGACCTTTGCTGGGGACGGGGTGGGGGTGGGGGTGGGGGTCTCTGAGAGTCACGGTCACCAGAGGTTTCTGTCAAGCCAGTCCCTACTGAGGATGACCTGGCTTGCCTCTGTGCCCACAGAAAAGTATATGACTGGAGACTGATTTTTGGAGCAAAGGAAATTGTGTATGGGAACAATAAACCAGTGAAGCCGCCTCAACAGGAGAGATATGTCGAGAAAATCGTCATCCATGAGAAATACGTCCCCAGTTTAGAGTACAATGACATTGCTCTCTTGAAGATCACCCCTCCTGTTCCCTGTGGGCAGTTCATCGGACCCGGCTGCCTGCCCCAGTTTAGGGCAGGCCCACCCAGAGTCCCCGAGGTCTGCTGGGTGGCTGGCTGGGGATTCTTAAAAGAGAATGGTGAGTATGGTGGGAGCTCTCAAGGGGGGGTGGGGCACTGCTGGTCATTCCCTTGGTGGTCTCTGAGGGGAAGGGGTAATATGTGCTGCCTGGCGGAGCGACACGCAGACTCCACCAGAGTCCTGTAATTAGGTCCCGTTTAGTAGCTGGAGAAACTGTCCAAAGCCTCACAACTGATGACTACTCTGGTCACCACAGGGAAGGCTGAGAGCAAGCACAGGAGAACCCTGATGCTTTTAGCACGGGGCCTAGCCTGCGTCTGTATCTGGGGCCCGGAGCCCAGCTGCTGCATTCCAGAAGTGGGTGCTCGTACCCTGAAACAGCACTTGGAGAAGAGCTCGAGATAGGGTTTTGTGGCTGTGGGCCGGTCCCTCTCCTCTCTGGCCCTCCATTTCCCCATCTGTGAGTGGAAGGGGCTGGTTACATGGTTACATGCTCTGAGCTCTGACACCCCTGAGCTCGGCCCTCCTGGTCCTGACCAGTGCACCTCTCCACCCCACCCTGAGTGGTCACAGCCCCAGAGCCCACTCTCCCCATTGAAGCTACTTCATTTTCTCTGTAGGAGAGGTTTTTTGCAGGTCAGCTGTGGGCAGCAAGGGTCTGACCAGCAGGTCAGGCCTTTTGGCTTTCCACAGGTGGCCACGTGGAAATCTTTACCCAGTCACACTGGGAATGTGAAGCGAGACTGAAATCTCCTCCGTCCCTTGCTGATAGAATATAGAGGGCTCCCAATTCAAGGCATTTCAGTCGCTTGGGGTCAAAACTCAGCCTTTGCTGGTGACAGAACCCTGGTAGTTTCAGAGTGCTTCCTGTAACTCTTCTTCCTTCTCTCAAGGCTGGTTCCACTCCCTGACAGGGTTGCTGTGTGTCCTGTCCCTCAGGAAAGGGCTTCTCTTCCTAGGTGTCCTTGCTTTCACTGACCTCTGCTGACCCCTCGCCTTCTCACCCTGGCCTGGGGTGTCAGCCTCTGTCTGGCTGTTGATGTCCATGGCTCTGCTGTGGGCTCCAGAGCATTATTCTTGTCCCTCTCACCAGGCTACCCTGCTCTGTCTGCCCACCCGGACATGGGCACAGCATTCTGGGGTTCTTGCCATCCCTGTGGGGGGCTGACCTCAGGGTTCCCATCTACACTCCCACCCTCACCTTTGCTATCCTATTGCTCAAAAGGTTTATAGGCTCCCAGCTACACATTGGACATCATGAAAAGCCTGTTTTATTCTAGAATTCCTCTCAGCTGAACGGGTTTTGTATTGTTTTTTGGTGAACACTTCCCCATCGCCAAGGCCAAGTCTTAAAGAAATCTCCAGTTGCCAAACTTCCGTGACATTCCTTCAGACCTTCCTTTATCTATGGCCTCCTAGAGCCCATATGCTCTGGGGCTGGAAGAGCACTTTTGGGGTAGTCTTCCTTTTCCATTGGATTTTGAGTTCTTGCAGACCTTTTTAGCATTTGTCATTTAAAGCCACAGTGTTGAGATTGAGAAAGCCCTTTTCTGTTTCAGGGCACCTGGCTTTTGACAATGAAACCTGTGGCTGTCCAGACTATGTAGGCTGTGCCATAGATTTAAAAGGTCACCTTAAATGACCAAGCTTCTTGTGGTAATTTCAGTGTCACCCCTGCCTCAGGGGCGGTGCACACCCAACACCCTCACTGCTGCTTGGATGGTACGCAAAGCTGAGCTAAAGGGACCCGAAACATAGTCAAAGCCATACAGACACACATTCAGCTGTTTGCCGGGTGCTTACTGTGTGCCTAGCCCCACCCACCCTGCTCCACGTGGTTCTGGCTTTGCGCTTGGCCTGCGCCTCCATGTTCCAAGTCTGATCTGCCACCTCTCCACCTGTATGCAGGCAGGTGATTTCAGACGTCCCCTAGGCTGTGGCTGGGCTGTGGGTGCTGCTGTAGGAGGGCCCTTCTGTCTGTAGGCAGGGGGTGGGGGTGGGGCACTTGATGAAGAGGGGATAGATAGCTGCACCCGTTCTCGAGTTCTGTTGAAGCCAGATGTAAGGTTGGCTGATTGAGGCATAGCCTGGGCTGGACCTCCTTTAGCCGGAAGGTCATGATGGAGCATCTGGCGCTTCAAAGGAAGTTCTGACTTGGCTTCAGGTCATTCCGACCACCTGCGCCCCTGACGGGTCTGTCTGTGTGTGGACATGACTGCCACAGCTCTCCCTTTATAGAATCTCCTCAAAGCAGAAGGGAGGCACATGGGAGGGACTCCTCCCATCCACAGCTGAGCGGAGGCGTCCTGGGTAAAAAGCAGGGAGGGGGACCTAGAGCTGTACTATGGGGGATGAGATGTGTGTCCTGGGCTTAAGTGTAGAGGAAAACCTTGCTCTGAATCCCAGCCTTAGCACTTCCCTACCAGGATGTAGTGGTGCTGCCAGCTCCTGACTGGAAGAAAGGCAAGTCACAGCACTCAACGCAGGGGGTCGCTGTGGGCTGTAAATGAAGTGACACATTCTGGCTGTTAATCTGCCCTCAACACACACAGCCCTTCAGCTGCATCTGCCGTCCTGCATGCCCTGCGCACGCCCCACCTCCACCCCACAGCCTGCTTGCTCTTCTCCTCAGGGGGGTATGAGGAGAGGCCAGGGGCATTCACTTTCATGGATTTAATGGTTTTGTATCATGGGTTTAATCAGAGCATGGGGTTAGGACGATGGGGTTTCTGTGGGGGGACCGGGCAGGGCTTTCCCAGCACATGCCTGTGCTCGCTGACCACTGAGCCAGCCGCCTGGCTGCAGCCTACAGGACGTCACCTACGCTGCAGGAGGCGCGTGTGAACCTCATCGATCTCGACTTATGTAACTCCACCCAGTGGTACAACGGGCGCATCCGGTCCACCAACGTGTGCGCAGGGTACCCTGAAGGCAAGATTGACACATGCCAGGTAACTCCCTTTGGGTGCTCACTTCCCAACCAACACCTCTTGTTTGAGTCCCTGAGCTCCACTACCGCCAAGGCCCTGCTCCAGGGACCCCCTCTCTGGCCCCATCTTCCAGCAGTGAGGGTGGGAGGAGACACTGACCTGCCGCCCCTACAAAGGACCAGTCACCACACCTAGAGCTTATTCTCCCATGTCACAGGGGTCACACCACCCACCGTCACCCCTGAAGAGAATGCTTGCCTCTCTTCACCAGAAATCAAAATCTCCCAATGCACGTGTACGAGGCCCATGTATGCATGAAGCCACATGCATGGACACATGGGTCGCTTATCTTGCCTCCTCACTGGAAGGAAACCCATGACAATCCATACCCTTCTCACATCCCAACCGAAGATGTTGATACCAACTCAAAGTTTACCACAACCACTGTGTTCATGGCAGCAGGAAGTCATGTGACTGCAGAGACTGTCCTTCCAGAGCCTGTGGCCCTGTCTGGGCAGGGGAAACGTGGCTCAGGCAGAGTGTGACTTCTGTGTCCTTCTGGGCAGGGGAAACGTGGCTCAGGCAGAGAGTGACTTCTGTGTCCTTCTGGGCAGGGGGACAGCGGCGGGCCTCTCATGTGCAGAGACAACGTGGCAAATACCTATGTGGTCGTGGGAATCACAAGCTGGGGGGTAGGCTGTGCCCGAGCTAAGCGCCCCGGAGTCTACACGGCCACCTGGCCCTATCTGAGCTGGATTGCTTCCAAGATCGGTTCTAATGCCTTGCACATGGCTCAGGTGCCCACCCCTCCCCATCCCACTACTCCAGCACCCCCAGCTAGACCCCCCTCTCCCCGCCCTCCTGGTCGCCCTCCTTGGTACTTCCAACGCCCTCCTCAACCACTTCCCCTCCGTCCCCCTGCATCTCAACCTCCTCGACCTCAACCCAAACCCCCAGCCCCACCTGCACCCCCATCTCTACCTCCAGCTCCACCCTCGCCCCCACCTCCACCCCCACTCCCTCCTGCACCCTCACCTATCACTAAACCTGTTCAAGTACTTTCTTTTGCCAAGCGACTACAGCAACTCATAGAGATCTTGAAGGGGAAGACCTTTTCTAGCGCAAAGGGGTATTATGAGATGGAGACCACAGACCTCCCTGAACTGACCGCCGTTTCCTGATCTGACCCCATTCCCAAGAGACCCAGTGAGCCCTTCACTCCTGAGAAAGAAAGATGAAATAAATAACTATAACTTTATAACTATAAATATAACTATATATCCATGAAGAGATGCTTTCTGGAGTTCTTCCTACCTGCCCTCCCCAACTCAGTCCAAACCCTCCCACATCAAATCCACCCTTCCTTTGTTACCTTCCAACAAGGTGGAATTGCTTGTATGTTAACATCAATTGTGGTTTTTAAAATCTGGATTTTTATAAAGGTTTTTGTTTTTGAGAGAGAGCGCGCGTGCGCGTGCGCAAGCGGGGGAGGGGCAGAGAGAGAGGGGGACAGAGGATCCGAAGTGGCTCTGTGCTGACAGCAAACGAGCCTGATGTGGAGCTCGAACTCACAAACCATGAGATCACGGCCTGAGCTGAAGTTGGGTGCTCAGCCGAGTGAGCCATCCAGGTGCCCCTAAACCTTGATTTTTAAAGTTGGAACAAGGTGACCTGGGGCCGTAGGCCAGGGATGGTCTTTATTTCACACTTAGTGTGTCTGTGTATTAGATCAGTAGGGGTGGGTGCTGGTAATACTCCTGTGAGCAGAACTGACTCAGGAGGAGGAGTGTGTGTCTGAATCTACTGGAAGAATGACCTCAACCTGAAGTTCTATAGAGTGGTTGACCGATGCTCAGTCCACATGGCTGACCCCAGGCAGCTGTCTGTCCTCAACCAGAATTGCTCATGTCCATTTGTAAATCCTGAGAAAGATTTTGATGGGGTCAGGTCAACTGCCCACTCTGGTCTGGGCATAAATCAAACCTAAATGCTGGGTTAACCACTTGAAAATTGAAGATGGCAGGTCCCAGGGGTGCCTGGGTGGCTCAGTAGGTTAAGCATCTGACTCTTGACTTCGGCTCAGGTCACGATCTCATGGTTCATGAGTTCGAGCCCCGCATTGGGCTCTGTGCTGACAGTGCAGAGCCTGCTTGGGATTCTCTTTCTCCCTCTCCCCTTCTTGCTCTCTATCTTTCTCTCAAAATATAGAAAAATAAACCTAAAAAAAGAAAAGATGCCCCAGAAAGAAATCTCCTGGCTCCTGACTGGCAGTTGCTGGAAGAATCATCCATTCTCTTCTCTGTTCACCAAACTGCCTGTGCACGTTTCATGTGCAGGATGGTCCTCTGTGCTGGCTGCAAAGATAGACGGCAGGAGGTGCAGGAGTGTGAGGGAGGAACCCCGGGGAGGAAGACCAAGGACCCTGTCCTTCTCCTGCTGGGGCTGCAACAGGGACTGATGAAGAAGCCATGAGTCTTCGTTTTCGGGATTCATCAGTCTGCCTGGGCTCAAACAAACACCCTGCTTTACACCTCCTCAGCTGTGTGGCCTTGGGAATATGGCCAGAGGGTTGTGTGACAATGAAATTAGGACAGATGGGAAGCATTCAGAGCAGAGCTGACATGCTGTAAATGCTGTAATTTAGAGCCAACTGGCAAGGAAATGCTGGTAACCTAATGTTTATCTGCAGGGGTGCTGTGGTGCACACCGCCTGCACACTTATGATCCCTGAAATGCTAGGCTACATAGGAAAGCTTGCAATTTGGTCTGGGTGGCCCATAACTCTGTAGTGTAGCAATGTCAGATTAAATAAAAAAACCAAGTTTTATCTGCCTTGGCTAAGAGCTGACATTGTTAAGATTAGAGTTCGCTTGGGGCGCCTGGGTGGCTCAGTCGGTTAAGTGTACGACTTTGGCTCAGGTCATGATCTCATGGTTCATGGGTTCGAGCCCCGCGTTGGGCTTTGTGCTGACAGTCAGCTCAGAGCCTGGAGCCTGTCTTTGGATTATGTGACTCCCTCTCTCTCTGACTCTCCCCTGCTCATGCTGTCTCTCTCTCTCAAAAATAAATAAAACATTAAAAAAATTTTTAAAAATTAGAGTTGGCTTGTCCATTATTCCTTTTGTTGGCTTTGGTCTGTATATTCTAAAGCCAGCTTCTTGCTCTCCCTACTAGGTACATAAGCTTTGTACCCTGGTGTCAGATGCTAGCTATCCTCTAAATACTGAACAAAACTCAGTGTCAGTCACATAGCGAGACAGAAACCAAGCTGTGGGCCACATGGTCCAAGGAACAGAACAGTCATGCAGCAGCTCCAGACCTGCCCTCGCCCTTCCTGGGCAGTCCTGAACCCTGAGCCAGAGCCCGGTGGGCCTGTATTTGGGAGTGGTGGGGCAAGGCGTGCCCAGGCTGGGCAGCAGGGGTGGGTGTGGAGGGTTTGGGACAAGCGTGGAGGAGCTACACTGCCAGCAGTTTCCTTCCACCTGCAGATCATCCCTCCTCCTCTGAGCCTTCCAGGGTCCAGAACGGACTCTCCTGGCACTTTCTCTTCTTTACACACTGGAATCCTTGTCCCTCTCTCCTCATTGGGCCTGTCATCTGTAGCTGACACTTGGGTCTCCTTCCTGGAGAGACAAGGCCTATGCTCAGGGGACACTTGTGGGAGGCCATGGATTGGGTAGAGCCTACAGAATCCAAGTTAGGTTTCTCATGTGTCTTCTGGAAACTTTCCATGCCCATGAATATATATAATCTAATCCCCTTATTTATTCATTGTTTATGCTTCCCTGACTTCCTTTTTCATGCAGCAAACTAGGCATATTTCCATCTTAGCACATAGGGACCCACCTTCTGTAAATTATGTCCTGCAGCAGGGATGCTCACATTGCCTTCCGCTTCAGCCTTCCCTCAGTGTGCCCACTTCCCCACATGTAAGCTGACACTGGTTTATATCAAACTCACTGATCTTTGCAAAACGAACTAATGTTTTAATTTACATTTTAAAAATTATGAATGAAGATACAAGTAAAGGGAGACTCTCTGACCTGCCTTCACGTCCCTGTGGGCCTTGTAATCCTGAAAGCGGCTCCCAGATCCCAGAGTGGGTACTGCTGCACAGAGACGGGAAGAACAGGAAAACGCACAGGCTGCGTGATGAGCCAGCACCGAAGGGCATCAGGGCATCTGTTTCCTTGTGGGATGGTTAGGCAAAAGAAGGGTATTTTTTAAGAATAGAATTCATAATGAATTTTATTGCTAGGAACAGTAACAAAATGATTTGACAGTGGCTAAATCTGTGAACATGGTCAGACCCTGACTCTTGAGCATTCAGGGACAGTAGATGTACAATAATGCATGCAGGTACAAGTTCTAATTTTTAATTTGATACATATTTGAAATCGTATATTTCCAGGGAAAAATGATCCCAATGAATATAATTTTAGTAAATTTTAAATGGAAGCAGAAAAAATGGAGGTAGTTCATTTTTTTTTAAGTTTATTTTGAGAGAGAGAGAGAGAGAGAGAGAGAGAGAGAGAGAGAATCCCAATCACGCTGCACACCATCAGCACAGAGCCTGACTTGGGGCTCAACGCAGGGCTTGAACTCACAAATCATGATATCTGAGCCAAAATCAAGAGTCGGACACTCAACCGACTGAGCCATCCAGGCTTCCCAGTAATTCATCGTTAATGCGTAGAGAACTGATCAAGAAACAGAAACTAGCTTAATGGAATTTTCTGCAGAAACTCTACTCTTGGACCAAAAATCATCAGTGGCCTGCTTCTGGTCACTATAGTTGAGCCTGTACACATCTCTTGGGTAAATACTGGGTAGTGGCTGGGTTGTATGGTAGGTGTAAATTCTGACGTATGAATGCACCCAGGGCTCCAGCACCACAGTCAATATAGTGAACCTGTCCATCATTCTGAAGACTCCTTTCTGGCGCTCTGTCACCCCTGCAGCCCGTTGGCCCAAGCAACTTCTGATCTGTTTCTCTCACTGTGTATTAGTTTGCATTAAAAAAAAAATTGTAAGTGCAGTCATACAGTGACCACTCTTTTCTTGTCTAGCTTCTTTCTTATTTAAAAAAAAATTTTTTTTTAATGTTTTTATTTATTTCTAGGAGAGAGAGAGACAGCGTGAGCAGGGAGGGTCAGAGAGAGAGGGAGTCACAGACTCTGAAACAGGCTCCAGGCTCTGGGCTGGCAGTCAGCACAGAGCCCGACGCAGGGCAAAAACCCACGAACCGAGAGATCATGACCTAAGCGAAAGTCGGACGCTTAACCGACTAAGCCGCCCAGGCGCCCCTCTTGTCTAGCTTCTTTCATTCAGCGCAATCATTTTGAGATTTGTCTACGTGGCAGTGTGTTCCAGCAGTTTCCTTGTCACTGCTGAGTGCTCCACTGTGTGCCTGAACCACATATTCGTTGTTCTGTTCACCAGGAGATGGACGTTCAGCTGTTTACAGTTTTTGGCCATTGCAAAAACTATAAAGCAGCTATGAGCATTTGTATACAAGTCTTTGTGTGGGCATATGCTTTCATATCTCTTGGCTAAGTACTTACATGCCAGATATGGTAGGTGTATGGTTGGTATTTAAAAAAACTGCCAAACTGTGTTCTCAAGGTGGTTGCCATACTCTACATCCCCAGCAGCTATGTCTGAGAGCCAGTACCTCTAGCTCCTTGCCAAAACTTGATGTGCTCAGTCTTTTTAATTTTAGCCATTCTTATAGGTGTGTGGTAATATGCCATTTGTGGGTTTTCCCGCACAAATGTAGTTTATAAGTGAGTTTAAAGCATTATCAGTGAGGCAATAGGGCAATAACTTTTGACAGTAGCAAAATGTGAGAGGGCACCTAGGGAAAGAAGGAAGCAGAGGGAAAAAGGCCTAAAATTAAATTTATCCAAACAGAATTTAAGTATTCCAAGCATCATAAACCTCAATGGAAAACACGTGAAGGCCACACGGTACAACAGCTATAGAACCCTTTCTTCGTCTTTGCTGCATCAGTTCCAGGAAAGATCTGCTGAAGAAGCTGGTGGCCTGACTCGCATATAAAGACATTCCAAAGTATCCAAACTCCCAGAGCCTCCCTGTCACCCAAAGATCAACACTTTGGGGCGCCTGGGTGGCTTAGTCGGTTGAGCGTCCGACTTTTGCTTAGGTCATGATCTCGCGGTTCGTGGGTTCGAGCCCCGCGTCGGGCTCTGTGCTGACTGCCAGCCTAGAGCCTGGAGCCTGTTTCAGAGTCTGTGACTCCCTCTCTCTCTGA